TGCTTATGATAAGATAGATATATGTAAAATGCCAATACGTTTAGTGTTAAAAGACTATTGCCCAATTTTCCCAAATTCCTTCCATCACGTTACGTATCAAATATATAAATGCATGTTTTCACATTCGTTGTTGGAACAAGCGTGTAATAATATTCTTTTCGTTAATCTGCAATCTCAGAGTGTGTCGTTGAATCTGTAAGTAGACGCGACTTACAACGACGTGAATAAATAAAAATAAAGCCCTGGATCTGGACTCATCGGTTTACTATCGTATTGTACGACTTTTTACGAAGCGAGACACGCTTTTGGCGCTTGACGGTCGTATAAATCCAGCTGCATCGGAAGAGAAATCGCGAGTAGTATCGACGAACTCTGACGCGGCAGAAATCTCGCGGAGATTTGATCGACGAGTCGTCGCCGCGATGAAAACGATCGGCGCGGTCGCGAAATTAATGTTTCTAGAAGTCAAAGTGTAAAGTTAAGTCCACGACGAGGTGTCGTGAATTATTCATTCAAACATTCTCGAACGAGGGGGAAAGTAGTTGAGCGTCGGTAAACGCTCGAGATCTCTACGATATTCGGCGTGGAAATGTTGTCCAAAACGTCGGGACGCTCTACGACCGTTCTTCTTGTGACACTTATCGGGACGGAACGTCGCGAAACGTCGACGAATGCTAGGGACTTTTTGGCCACTGGCCAGAATCCAGGGGGCCGTGAATTCTCGCGTGTCGTTCGATATGAATGAGAACGATGGCCGGGGCGGTGTGGTGTCGCGCGTTTCACGCTTCGCTAGATTGAAGCTGAACCGCGAAAACGCGGCTCGTCGATGGCGCGACCGTTTACAAGGCGCCATACGGCCGAATCCGTTTATACTCGCCCTGGATTCTCCAAATTGTCGTCGGTTTTTTCGCTATATTTAAACGCATCAGGCATCGCATCTTCCTGCGCCAAGTACCAAGTACGTCGCGCAACGTCTCGAAGAAAAAACGTTGAACAATTTCCAGCAAACTGGTGATCGCGGAGCGAGAAAGAATCTCTTTCCACCGTTTTTTTCGTTTTTTGAACCTTTCGTTGAATGAATGAATGAATCAGGCTTGAATTGATCGAACGCGATCGAATTAACAAACTGGTATTAATCTCGTTAGCCCGGTGAACACCGGCACGAAATTATATAATTATTGAAAAGGTATTTAATTCCATCGAGCAACTCATTCACTGGATATCCTTTGGATTGACGAATCTCTGGAATACCAACGACGAGAAGCAATCGATTGTTGCTTTACCGATGTTTCGCGGCATTTAAACCATATCGAAATTCCATGCGAAATCTCATCAAAGGCAGACGGTCGCGTGCGGGTCGCTAAATGCGCAACTCCGTTAAACGCAAAAACCGCGAAATTTCATGCGATACGCGAATATCGACCACATCAAGCGAAATAAATTTCAATTCCATTGCCGCGATAAATCAATCACGTTTAACATTAACGTCATGCCGTATATACGCGTGTGTTCCTTATTCCCCTTCAAAAACACTTCGGCTCTTCGAATCGAATTCCCGCGAGCGGAATCGAATTTTTTCGAAATGATAGACAGAAGGATGAAAGTAGCAGCGGCGAAGCTGCTCGACGCAAAGTGAAATCGCTTTAAATAAAAGCCGACTGAATAATTTGTTGGAATATACTATATATCCCGGTATGGAATACGCTCTGGACGCGAATTCGCGTTTCCGCGAATGGAATGGAATGGCAAGAAGAATTTCCCCAAGTTTCTGCAAAATGCGCGGATATTTAGGCCAATTCAAATCGTCACGGGAGTTCTAAGGGAGTGGACGTAGTTTCTAAGCGGAAATTCCTAAATTTTTTCCCAAGAAAAGCAGAAACAAATGCAACGCGCGACAATCACGACAATCACGACGACGTGTGTCGTCCTCTTCTACTGAGAGAAAGTTTGTTGATTTTTCTTTTCGCCTTTTCCTTTGTCTCGTAGGTACGATGGTTCCAGCAACAGCATGAGAAGAAACGCAAGAAGAGGGACTTCGTGCCGACGTCGTACGCGTTCGCCGATTATCCGGCGTTTTTCGACGAGTTCGGGCCGCGTTCTAGGCAGGCCACGTACCACCGACAAAGAAACAGAGGTGTGCCTCTTCAAAACCTGTTCACGGATCCGCTCTTTAAGGAACAGTGGTACCTGGTAAGTGGGCCCTTCGATTTTACTTCCCTGGAACCTCGACCGAAACCAACTACGTGACGCGACTGCGTTCCAAGAACATGGCTGACTTAACGACCTACCCAGTTATAACGTATTCTGAATTCAGTTCGTCCTTTCCACTTGTCCAATCTACCTTTTTATCTGGTTTCCTTCTCTCCTTTTTCTTCTTCTTCACTTCCTCACTGAGATTCGTCCTTCCTTCTAAAGATCTTTCTTCAGATATTTTGGGGATTTTTTCCCCAAGATCGAAGATCGAAGAAACACTCGAGGCACTTTTCTCGAACGAGAACAATTAAAATCGGTCGAGGTTACGCGAATAGAACTATTCCGCTGCAGAGCAGCGTGACTGTTGGAAATTTTCTTTCGACGGAGCAAGCAGACTGGCGCAACGCGCGAATAACATCGATCTACGCGTATAATTCCACGCTCTGGTTATTTACGGCTGTGGGTAGCGCAGCAGCGCGAAATTCTGACGATATCCAGGCTCAGTTTCATATCGCTATTCAATCAAACTGCAATCAGCATCAAGAACAACGGCCGATGAAACGCGCGAGCACTGGCCGGTGACAAAAAGAATGTTTGATGCCTGTTGGAATCCCGTTGATGAAACAATTTTTCAGAATTCCCCGTCTCTGTGCACGCGATCGGTCGCGCCCAATAATTTCCAATCGCTCGCTCGCTCGCGTCTCGATCACTCGCTTCGCTAAGTATCAAGTTCAACGGCTTTCAACGTCGTGGCCTGTGAAATTGTGGCTGTGAAAACCTGACAGCATTGGACCTCGAAATTCCCTCGAGAACCACCGATTAAAATATATATATATACCTGAGACCTGAGTGAAATTAAGAAAGTCTGAATCGCTCGAATTTTGGGCTACGAATTCTCAAAGTTGTTCAATTCTTAAATTGAACTTGATCACCGGTGATTATCGTGACAGTCATTCGCGTTAACGAATAAAATCCTGTTTGCTGATTAGAACAAGCTTCGCCCGTGCTCGAATTCCTCCATACCGATAACAGGATAAATCGTCGGAGTCGAGGAGAAACAGGTTAAATCGTAGTGTAAAGGAATAATTTCGCGAGCCACTGCACGCGCGTGTTTCATTGGAAGGACTCCTGTTTCATCTCATTCTCGAGAGTCAGAGACAATTGAACACAATGTTGATGAACGTTCCGAAAGATGAGGTCGTAGAGCGGAGAACTCGGAAGAGCGGAGAGATTGATCTAAACTTTTCATTCGTCGTTTCCACATCTCGTCTCCTCCCTTTTATTCGGCGGCCCCGGTTAATTTGCGGTTCATAGGTTCGTCGTCGTGGTCTTGTTCAACATTCTCTACAAACACTTCCATTTTTCTTGCATGGCTCGCCTCATTCAATTACCCTCTGTTTAATCGGTTAACAGGCAATCTTTCTTCCCCTCTTTTTTCCGCCAGCAATCCGTATCGAATTCCCTCTCTCGTTTTCTCATTTTCGGCTCCGCGACCGAATCGACGCGAATCGCAGTTAAAACATTTGCACACCGCTGCTGCACCGGGGAAAAAATTACCTTCGTTTAATTTCTCACCGTTCAACGATTCAAGGTATTCCCGCGGAATTTTCACCACCGAAGAAATTTTCCAGTTTTTTTTACACACGCTCGCGCGCGAATTTACAAGACTTTTCGTCAATGAAAGATGACTGACTTGGAATTCGTAGACAGTTTTCCAAAACTTTGCCTTTGACGTCTGTCAAAGTTTCGCAAAATTTTGGAATATTTCAGATTCCACGATTACTTTACTTGGAAAGAAATAAAAATTCTACGAGAGCATTAGATCCGAACGAATAATGATCACGGTGCTAAAGCAGCGAGTTCAACTTTCAACAGAGATCGTCGACGAGATGAAACTCTCTATTTCCCATTAATAATACTCCGATGTTACTTAACGCGAATTTAAAATAAATCAGCGCGTGGTAGGTGCAGAAGATCGCGTGGAGGGGGTAGCGCTAGCTAGTCAGGAAAGTGGGGGAAAGAGTCGCCAGTTAGCCACCTCTGGTCTATATACACTCGTTGCTAATGAAATTTCGAAACGACGATACAAAAAAGACTGAGAACTCTACAAAAAGAATTGCAACAACGCGTTTCGTGTCGGGAATTAATGATCGCCGTGCTATGTAAATATATCAGCTACAGTTCTCTTTCAGACCGTGCAGTAATGATAAATCATATTTTCGTTTGCGTGTCAGAGCTGGTGAATTTATATCGTTCGCGGCAACGTCGGAACTTTTCGATATAATTCTAATCAAATTTTTGTCTATATGACGAATGGCTGTCGAACGAGAGAGGATAGAGAGCAGGCGGGTCGATAACACACCTCGAGTCACCTCTGAGTTATGTGTCACGTGAAAAATAGCTATTGACAAAAAAGTATTGCATAGGTTTTCGAGGAACCCATTACATGGTGTACGCGTTGTTTTATGGACGAAGACGTGCGAAAGATTGATGAACAGTCAGCTTTCATCCCACGTGTGGAACACGTCGTACGTGGGATGGCAAAATTTTTCAAATCGACGAAGAATCTTAGGGAATCGACCGGTAAGGTAAGGTAAATTCACGACCTTGTCGAAGTTCTTCGACAAACTTCGTGCTTTAAAATGAGACCAAGTTATTACGCGAACGCTTTTTCTTTTCTTCGACGAAGTGTACGTCAAATTAAATTAATGTTTCACTGTCGTTGTTGGTTCAGTTATGCGTTACCTTTCCACTGTGCGCGTCGATAACTCAAACGGAATTTTACCACGACTGCAAATACGATACAAGTCTCACTCTGTATCGTTGTAGATATAGTTTGCATTTCCGATTCCTATTAATCATGGAAGAACGTCTGATTTCAGAACGGCGGAGCCAAGGACGGCTATGACATGAATCTTGGCCCAGCGTGGCAGAAGGGTTACACTGGCAAGGATGTCGTCGTGTCGATCCTCGACGACGGCATACAGACAAATCATCCGGATCTGGCTTTGAATTACGATCACCAAGCCAGCACGGACATAAACGACAATGACAATGACCCGATGCCAAGAGACAACGGTGACAACAAGCACGGGACACGTTGCGCCGGCGAAGTTGCCGCGGTTGCCTTCAACCAATATTGCGGCGTCGGCGTCGCTTACAATGCAAGCATCGGAGGTAAATGATCCCAAACTTTCCCTCCATCATTCCTCCATTACTCTGTAAGAATATCCAATTAGTTTCGAGGCTGCGCTGAAATTTTCGACGAAACTGTAACATCTGCACCTTTTTCTTTTTTTCTTTCTTTCAATTTAAAAACTGTAATAAAGAAAACTACAACTGCAGGAAATAAAAATACAAGCTTGTTGAGGTTAGAGGTCTTCTCAAGGGGGGGGGAGGCAAAGTAGACCTGCAGGCCGGTAATTTGCATTTGCTTGCATCCGTGGGATCGAAACGAGCATATCTGTCGTTTAGTACAATTTCGAAACGAGAGATCGTTTCGGATCCGTGAGAAAATTGAAAATCTCGAGGTCCATCGAGGGGGAAGGAGACGATGAAAAAGATATAAAAAGCTGTAAATAATCGTCCGACTCGCCGCGAGCTCCGGTTCCGTAAATGAAAACGCAACTGCAGCGAATTAAATTCCACTCGGAAATACACGGCCCTCTTTATTAGAAGTGACGTCTCGCTGCTATTCGCCGATATGAATTGCCTGTCGTCTCCCTCCTCTCCCTCCCTACCTCTCGTAGATGTTTGTCTCGAGCTCCAATTCGGAAGCGCCAGTGAGAATGAAAGTTGGAAAGAGTTCCCGGCGAAATTGTCGTGTTTACGTTTGGTAGTCCGCGGCAGAACTGAGACTCGAGAAGCGATAGAGAAGAAATTTTTAACAAGGACTTTAAGCAAGTTTCATAAACTCGCGAGGAAACAAATATGAGAAATACTCGTGTACCCGCGGAGGGGGAGGATCAAATTAATTTACGAGGGGCATGTTATTTTTGTGGTCGTGCGCGTTACAGATTAATTCGCGCGGTAGCAATGAAACGGCTTGATGTTTAGACATAAACAATTTGCATAAAAGCTTTTTCAGCAACGGTATTCATCGCGATATTCAAACGAACTTGTTTGATTAACCAAACATCATAGTAGTACACTGTTGCTTTAACAATTTCCTATAATGATATTGATGTATATTGTATTAATATTATAATTACGCGTTATTTCGAAATTCGTATTAATTACAATCGGGTCGTGCAGGGGTTTTCAATTTGCATAGCAATCGGACGCAGCTCAGCGTAACGACGTCTCCCCTTCCCCCCTCCCCCCTCCCCCCCATCCTTCCGAATTTTATTACATTTACAATTACAAGTGAATGTCGCGACACACATTTTCGTAACGAGATGCATTCTTCTTTTCTCTTCGGTTTAATTCCTTGGGTATTCGCGCAATCTACACGAGAAAACGGCGAGCCCGAAATGTGGCGCGTTTCCCTCGTAAAACAATTTCCGGATATTCCGTCTGCCAGCTGTTGACACTTGAAACTATCATCTGTTAGAAACACCCGAACAATGGAAGTCCATTTCAAAATTAACATCACGCATCCTTGCAGACACTTCCTGCACATAAATTTCTGGCTCGCGCCAACGTCCGCGAAAATTTTCGTTTAACAGGATCCGCCATAACGTCGCTCGATTCGTTTCTTTCGGATAGAACGAGCAACGAAAAGCAAGATACGAACATAATACGAATAAAGATCGAAGGTAATCAGGTGTGAAACGATTGTCACGTAACTGGCAAATCGATGAAGAACGCTACAAGTGTAAACGATTTTACCAGCGATTAATTCTAGAAAATCTCGCTTCGATCCCCACGAGATCGAGAAGTGAATTTCAACATCCCTCAACGTGGATGAAATTCTCGGTTCACTCGGTCTGTCTCGATCGCGCTTAAGCAATCTGTCGGCTTTGTTCCCAACACTTGCCTCGTCGATTCGAGCGCATTCTGCGTTCAATTTACTTCCTTCTTTCGCGTCCCATCGATAATTAGCTCGATTATGTCGCTCATTTCGCTCGGTGTCGAGTCGTTATCGCTTCGAGTAGCGATGTATTCGAGTCAGCCACGCGCCCAATCCGAGCTTCACTTTCTGATTTTTCGAGTAACGCCTCCAAGATTATTTGTTCCGTAAGAAAAAATTCGCTCGGAAGAAGAAAAATTTCTTCGAAGGTGAAAAATTTGGAGTTTCGGCCGATTAATTTCAATACTTCGGCATTTCGAAGCATGAATGGCCATTGCAAATAAGTAGACACTCTGAACCAAGGAACTTTTGTATATTTCTGCGTGTTATGTAGACGAGAGATATATGCCGTTATTCTCTTTCGTTATTCAATATACTCGCTATTTCGTTACGCCATATAAAATTCCCAAACAGGATACTCCGGCGTTCAATGCTCGAGCATAGCGAGCGACTTAAGCCCGTCGCTAGTTATAAGTCGTTTCATCTCGAGGGAATATCGAGTTCCGATAACATTATCGGCTCGTTTCCATTAAAATGCATGTCAACAGCCCGGTGTTCGATTTAACGCGTTCGGAATAACGTACGGCGTCGTCGACGGCGCGTTTCTCCTACCGATGGAATTTTCACGATTAAAACTACGTGTAGTCTATAGTGGGAAAAAAGGGGGGGGGATGGTGGGAGAGGGGTGACGAGGATAATTAGAATTCCGCGGGGAATTCTCTGCCACTTTTTTCCTTATCCACCGATTCGGTTTCGTTTCGCGCATAACCGAAGGCTGGAGAGGCCAGCCGAATTCCATGGGAAATCGCTGCGTGGAAGCTCGGCGTGCGCGAGCAACGAGAAGGAAAGCTATCTAACGCACATACCGCTCGTGTTCTCAGGCGTGCGAATGCTCGATGGCCCGGTAAACGATGCCGTCGAAGCCAGAGCGCTGGGATTGAATCCTGATCACATCGATATATACAGCGCGTCTTGGGGCCCCGAAGACGACGGGAAAACCGTCGATGGCCCAGGCCCTCTTGCCAGGAGGGCGTTTATCTACGGTGTCACCAGCGTAAGTCGACCACATCTTTCACTTTTTTCACAGACATTTGTCCCCTTTACTTACCTGCAATTATTACACGCAATAAAATCTTTCAATCTCGATTTGAATGGCGCAGGGTCGCAAGGGCAAGGGCTCGATCTTCGTGTGGGCGTCCGGTAACGGTGGTCGCCACACGGACTCGTGCAACTGCGACGGCTACACCAACAGCATCTTCACGTTGTCCATCTCGAGCGCGACGCAGGGCGGCTATAAACCTTGGTACCTGGAGGAGTGCAGCTCGACCCTCGCCTCGACCTACTCGTCCGGCACGCCGGGCAACGACAAGAGCGTCGCCACCGTGGACATGGACGCGAAACTCAGGCCGGATCACATTTGCACGGTGGAGCACACCGGCACTTCCGCCTCGGCGCCGTTGGCCGCCGGAATCGCCGCGCTGGCACTCGAGGCGAACCCGAGCCTCACCTGGAGGGACATGCAGTACCTGGTGGTGCTCACGTCCAGGTCGGCGCCACTCGAGAAGGAGCCCGGCTGGATCCTCAACGGGGTGAAGAGAAAGGTCTCCCACAAATTCGGTTACGGCCTGATGGACGCCGGTGCGATGGTGAACCTGGCCGAGCAGTGGACCAACGTGCCGCCTCAACATATCTGCAAGTCCGATGAGATCAATGAGGAGAGGCGTATCGATCCGACCTACGGCTACACGCTCAGCGTGTCCATGGATGTGACTGGCTGCGCTGGCTCCTTGAACGAGGTCCGCTTCCTCGAACACGTGCAGTGCAAGGTAAGAACCGAAAACTTCCACTATCCGATATATATATACACGTGTTTATTAGCACTGGAACTACTACAGCTGACTGGATACCGAGAAATGACTAATTCATGATTTTCCTTCGGAGATTCAAATGATTTTTCAGAAAATAATATAAATTAAAAGTCCTTGATAGTTCCAGTGTTAAAGACTGTGGCAACCCACGCGTCGAGAAACTTTGCGATAAATTTCAGTTTTGAATTGATAAATGTTTCGAGAAGTAGAAATTAGCATCTAAGTAAAAACGATCCTGTCGAATCTGCGTAGAAGAGATCTTTCTCTCGCGATGTTTCACACAACAAGTTCAATTTCGTACTAATTAATTCTCGTGTACACGGGGAATAAAAAATTGGACCTTTATAACGCGATACATTTCAGACGTTGAAAGGTACTACTGAATAAGGGAACAAACGATTAAGCGAGGGGGAGAAAAGCGTAAATGCAAAAATCTGACGGAAGGAAAGAACACCGGAGAGTGGAAAAGCAAGAACGTTTACGATAAAATTTATTTCTAGTCTATGTATATGTAAATGTGTATTTTGTTCTGGCTTATGATTCATAAAACTTAAAGCTTGTAAAAAAAGAAAATTTACATTTCAATGATACGGCGAATTCATCGTGTCTACGACCAGAGAGAGAGAAAGACAGAGAGACAGAGACTTGCAAATGTCCGCGCAATACGCGAATGTAAAAAGAACTATACCATTAAAAATATATTTAGCCGAGCTGAAAGATATTACCACGCGAGGAATATATATATATATATATA